TGTAAAATTGAGAAAATTCATAGGTTGGGATAAAGACAGTTTAATAGGTGAAGCAAAAGCCATGTACATGAGCAAAGCAAAACAAAGGATTCATTTGCTGCTTCCCATGAGCAAGCAGGTGTCCCTTCCTCCCCAGGAAAGCGGGGATGCATCACACATAACAGTGACTTGGGAAAGCAAATGCCATCACTCCAAACATCCCGCCCTTTTCTCCTTCCTCCCCAGTTTTATATGATGCCATATGGTCTGGAATATCCCTTGAGTCTGTTGGGGTCAGTCGTCCCGGCTGTGTCCCCTCCCATCTCCTTGCACACGCCCACCGTCTCTCTGGGAGGGTGTGGGGCTGAAAAGGCCTTGACTTTGTGTAAACGCTGCTCGGCAGTAATGAAAACATCCCTCTGTTATCAACACTGTTTCCAGCACAAATCAAAAACACAGGTCTATGCCAGCTCCCGGGAAGACAATTGCCTACCTTGGCCAAAACCAGCACAGTGAGATGGCCCAGGAAGGACAAGAGGAAGGCCAGTGCCAGCACTGCTGGTTGTACAGTGCAGGGCTCTCCCAGGAATGCATCCGATGGGCAGGGGCTTTGCAAGGAAAACTCAGTACCATAAAAGAGCTTGTTAAGTGCATTTCCACACAGGGAGCAGCCTGAACTGGGCACCAAGCAGAGCCATGTCACAGACCAGGAGTGTGGTGGGACAGCCAAGGAGCAGCATGGTCCCTTCAGCAGCTTTCACAGGGATGCTGCCCACCCATCTGCCTGCAGGGGGGTACAGAAAAGGGATTTGTGGTGGTGACGCAAAAACACCAACTGTGACCTACAAAGAAGGGAAAGCACCTTAGATTTCTGGGGTGATTTGAAGGAGCTAAACTCTGAAGGTATTTATGTTGCAAGGGTGCTGCTGTACTCAGCTCCCTGCATAGGGCTGCCTAGGGCACCAAGGGACATCTCTGGATATCACCTGGCACATGCACCAAAGGAGGGGAGTGGAGATAACTTCTCAAGTATCCCAAAGCAAGAGCAGCTCCTCCTCCCAGGAGAAAATAGCTCCATTCTTGCCCACCTTATCACCTTCCCAAGAAAACAGGTATGTTAGATTTGCCTGATCTTAGCCACCTGCTTCCTGCTGAGAGAAACAGATGAAAACTGCACCTCCATATATTCTGCTGCTAAATCCACACACCTCTGGCATAAGAATTTTTTTCTTCACCCGACCTTCCTCATTTTTTCCTTTTTTTCCTTTTATTGACTGAAGACCTTTTGGCTCCCTACCCAAAGACCAGAGGAGAAAAGCAAGATAAAGGCAGAAGGAGTGCTGTACTTGAAGATGGGTCACACATTGGGTTTTAATTGCTGCTAATACTCCAAGAAAATAAAAGATACCTGGCAAGAGACCAAGGCACAATGCTGAGAAATGTCACCATGTAACAGTAATCAGAGTCCAGAGTCCTGAAGGAGGTACACTCAAAAGGGAGCACATGCGATTTCCTGTCGCAGGGTTGACAACTGTTTGTACTTCCAAGGCAGTACAAGGAGACAGTAAATTTCACTGCTGCATTAATATCTTCTGTATATGTAGGCCTGCTTAATAAACGAATCTGTTTAACCCAACAGACAGCTAAACACCGTACAGCCATTCATTCACTGCCAGCAGAGTGGGGTGAAGGAGAGAATCAAAATAAAAGTAAAGCTTGTGGGCTGAGATTAAGGCAGCTTTAAGGAGCAGAAAAGAAAGGGAAAGGATATACAGTGAAAGCTATGGACAATTGCTCACCACCGAGTGCTGCTCAGCCAGTCCTCTCACCATCTCCCCCCCAGCTTTTTGTTCAGCAGGATGTCATATGATATGGGATATACCTATGGCCAGTTTGGGTCATTTGTCCCAGCAGCACCCCCTCCCATCGTCTTACACACCCCCAGCCTTCTGTCTGGCAGGGCAGTATGAGAAGCTGAAAAATCCTTGACTTAGTATAAGCACTGCTCAGCAACAACTAAAACATCAGTGTGTTATCAACATTATTCTCACCCTAAATCCCAAACACAGCACCATGCCAGCTACTATGAAGAAAATTAACTACTACTCCATCAAAAACCAGAGCAATAATGTTAAATGGCAATAATGGTAACCATTGCAAATGCTAAATGTTAACTATAATTTCTCACCTTTTGGAAGCTGAAGTACTTTTCCACCAAATGACCCTGGAAATAGCTTTGATAGCACCTGCAGTGAAAAGCTGGAGGCAGGAGAGACCTCTTCCCTGTACTCTTGGAAGATGCACCCTTCACTTTCAGGGCTGAGATATCTCTGTCCATCACAGAAACCATAGGAAAGGCTCTGAAGAGACAAGGGGCAAACCTTAGCCAGTACAGGTTTACAAAACAATTTCAGGCACAGCCTGGGGAACAGGGGAGGATGGATGGTTTGCTCTCTCCATAGCAACTGCAGCCCCAGCCCACATGCAGAGCCAGCTTTGGGTGTCTGGGTTATGATAGTGGACTTTTAGGTGGAGAGGTGGGGTGTTTGAGACCTCCTTCTTTTTCTCTTGGCAGAGCCTGATGCTGTGCATGGGAGGGAAAGCCCTATCTTCACCCAGAGCAGTCTCTCTCAGGTGCACCTGAAACCTGTGGACATGGTCTTATCAGCCTTCGCAGTGTTTTTGAGGTGGTTTGAGTTTCCAACACAAACAAATGTGGCTGCTATAAGGCCAGAGATCTGCCTGTCCAGAGCAGGGGATGCCCGGGGCCAGATTTGGGTCCCGCTGCCATTTAATCCTCTTTTTTTTGGCCTTCAGACCTTGCTAATGTAGCATCTCCTTCCCTGTTGCTTTTCACGTTGCTCAAGGAGGTGAACTTTTCCCTGCCTCCCTGGAAGCAGATTTGGAGTGAATTTGTCTGCATTCTCCGAGCCACCAGTTTCTTTGCTTTCTGAAATCTCCCTGAGCAACTTCCCAGTCCTCTGGGCAGTGTCCCTCAGTGTTAGGCAGGACCAGGCTTGTCCTGGTTCAAGGCTTCCTTCTGTGTTGTGGATGAACTGCTCTAGTGTGGAGCAAAGAGCAGAAAGCCACAGGGATTCCAGTGCTGCCCAGAGCCACACAGCCCTGCCACACAGTTAAGCCATCAGCACAAGAGAAATCACCCATAATCTGAGATAGAAAGATACAAGGATGAAATATGAAGTGCAGGAGGACGGGGACTCTGTTTGGGACTGGGCTGAACACCACATTCCCCCAGGACCACAGCCAACAAGGGTGAAGTCAGTTGTGGTGCATCAACACCTCAGACGAGTGCCAGGGACGAGGGACAGCACCTGCCGCCCCTGCTCCCTGGTGCCGTTGCCAGCCCCAGCTTGCATCGGCAAGAGAGACGGTCTTTCCTTCCCCCCCCAGATGCGCACCTCTCACCATCCTTCGGCTGCTCTAGCAGCTCTTCGTTCCCAACAGGAGCGGGAGAGCTCGGCAGCCTCTCGGTGAAACCGCAGCTGAGAAAGGGTCCCAGCTCTGGTGCCTCGCCGCCCCCCTGCCCCGCGGCTCTGGCAGCGCTCCTGGCACTCTCGGTGGTGGCGAGCTGCTGAGGGGCAGCGAGGGCGGCTGTGCCCGGGGGTCGGAGCAGCTCCACCGGGCAAGGGCTGGCTCCTCACACAGCCGCCGTGCAACAAGTCCTGGCGCCGGGGAGAGGGAGCACAGCCCGCCGTGCGCCTCCAGGAGCCGGCCTGCCCTGCTCCCCCCGAGCCAGCCTCCGGCTCCCCGGCTGGAGATGCTGGAGGCTCGGCCCGGCTCGGCCCGGCCCGGCTCGCAGCCCAGACCCGCTCCCCGCCCGGCCCCGCCGGCTGCCAGCACAGCCGCTGCCCGGGACGGGGCAAGGGCAAGGGCAGGATCTTGAACAGCAGGCGGGCTTCACCTCAGCACGGGAAAATGCAAAAGAAACGGGATCTTGAACCGTTCTTTCTGTTTTCCTTTTGTCTTCTGCTTTTTTTTTTTGGTTTTTTTTCTCTTTTTTTTTTTTTCTTTTTTTTTTCTTTTTTTTTCTTTTTTTTTTTGCGGGGGGGTGGTGGGAGCTGTCCCTTTTTATGACAGCGAGGGCACAAGGCGAGCGAGGAGGCGGAATCGTCTCGGCAGCCGCTGCATTTTGTGTGGAAGCCGCTCGGGGGTTCATTAATATCATTAGCATTTAACCCCCTCCCTGCCCCCTCCCCTTGCCAGCGCGGGCTGACGTCACGCGGCGGCAGGAGTTGGGGGGAAAGCGAGGGAAGCTCAGTGGGCAAGGGGCGTCCCTCTCCCCTCCCCGCCGCTGCCTGTCACTGCCTCTCTGCCGATATTATAGGGGCCGAAGCCTTGAGCTCAACGCGCGAAGTCAGCCAGTGTAATGAACTTCTGGAAACCTTTCCCTTTTTATACCATTCAGTTTCTGAGAGGCAGAGACTGCCTCCTCTGACGCCTTTTCCCCCCTTCCATTATTTTTCCAGGCTCTGATCTCCCTGCTTGCTGCACCGAGGCTCTCGGCGCAGAGCCCCGCTCCCTATCCTACCTTCTCCTTCGCCTCATTGTTGTCCTGGCTGCTGTGGCTCTCGCTTGCCTTCCAGGAGCGCGGTGGCGAGCACAGTCGCACCCCCAGCACCCTCCCAGGGTCCCGAGAGCATCTACTCGCAGAGGGGCAGCCGGCGGCCGCCGACTTTGGGTCACTTCGTTGTTTTGTTTTTTTTCTTTTTCTTTTTCCTTTTTTTTTTTTTTTTTAATTTTTGCCCCCTTTTTCTTTCTTTTTTTTTTTTTATTCCCTCCCACCTTTCCGCGTCCCCGCAGCGTGTCCCCGTCCCTCGGGAGGACATCGCTGGGGGAGCGGGGCTGCGGCGAGGATGTGCCGGCCCCGGCGGCAGAGCCAGCAGTGAGCACCCAAGGGAGGCACCTGCCCAGCGGAGCAGGGGGGCCCCGGGGGGGCCGCACCGCCTCGCCCCGGAGCCGACACTTCGCCCCGAGTTTAACCACTCACGGGGGCTTCGAGCATGAGCAAGCCGGCGGGATCAACAAGTGGGTAATAACGCGGTGGAGGCTTCGAGCAGCCTTTCCGAGGCCGGCTGCAGCCTGGCCTGGGGGGCGGGAGGTGGAGGGGAGGGAGAGGAAGGGGAGGGGGGGTTGTGGCTTGGGTTTGCACCCCCCCCACCCCGCGCCCAATTGAAAAAGAAGTGTATATTTCCAACCGGAGTGGCAACGAATATATAGGCTCGGAGTTGCCCCGATGCAGTTTGGGCCTGGGGCTTACAGAAAGCCGCTTTCCAGCTGCGTGCCCCGGCTTTCCGCGCTGGGAACCGGGGCAGAAGCCCGTGGGCAGCGAGCCCTCGGGAAGGCGGCTCCGCCGGCTGCGGGGAGGGGGCTGGTCCCGCCGGGACGCCGGCGGCTGCTTGCGGGTCTCCGATGCTGGGGCGGAGGGGAGAAGGTTTGGTTTTAAAAGGCATTTCGGCGTTGGAGCGTGCTGGTTTTCTCACGGACTTTATGCAATCTTCTGCGACATAATAATTTCTTTTTAAGAGTTTGAAACTCCGGTCACTCAATTACACGGAATCGCGTAAGCAACTCAGTCGAAGGAGGATTTAAATGCAATACTTTGCACACCATTCCCAGTTACAACAAATAATCCTGCAACGAGGAAAGCAGAAACAACTTAAAAGTCACATTTTCCTTAATCCTAAATCCATGCACCTCATAACTGGGGAATTTAAAGCATGACTAACCGCTCT